TCGTCAGCATTCAGACTGCCCTGCTGTGAACCTGAGCCAAGGGCATATACAATTACATCACTGAGAATGGTGGGAAAAAATGTGCTCCCGATTGCTTGCCATTGGCGGTCTGCATCCCGTTGATTACATAACACTTGCTGCATTGTGCGTGTTCTTCTTAAAATGGACAGAGCCTTGTCTTCTGCTCTGAGATGCCCTACTCTTGTTTAGGAAAGTAACAGGGGAAATTGTGGTTGATGAATGAGCTGCCGCCAGGGAGACGCTGTGGCCAAGTGGTGTGAGCGCTGGCCTGGGAGGCAGGGTTTTGCATTTTAATCCAGGCTCTGCTTCTCACTCTTGGCTCTGCGACCTCCAGGGAGACGGCGGTGTCTGTTTTCCCCATTTGTGCCGTGACACTCCCCTAGATGTGAAAGCCTGCACTCCGTAGCAGCAGAGTGAGGAGGTTTTTGCTGAGGGCATATGGGACAGGGGTGATCAGTTTCCCGTTTGGAGCCTCGGTAGGAGATGGGCCCCAGCCTCCCTCCTTCAACCAGCATCCATCAATCAGGGAGTCAGTCCACCCCAAGGTGGGGCCCCCTGCGGTCTTCACACCTTGGGGGCTTCATGCGTGGGACTGCGTCAGGAGTAGCAGGGAGATTGTCCTTGCCTTCCGTCCCCGGGGAAAGTAGCCTGGTTCTTCCTGGATGGGTCCAGCTGCTCCATGGCCTTCTGGCTTGGTTCTGGAAGCTGCCACGGCCCCAGGGCGGCGCTGAGCAGCTCGATCAGCAGCTCTACCAGCATGCCAGTCTGCTTCTCTAGAGCCTGGTGTGAGCTTTTAGACACAGCTGCCCGTCACACAGGATCATGTGTATCTGGGCCAAGAGAGGTCAGAGGGATGGGGCCGGGGGTTCGGGGTCAGGGAGACTTCCTCCCTGCCCTGCCGAGTAAGGCAGTAGAACCAGCATTTAGCTGTGACCTAACATGTGAGTGTTTTGTGCTGCCCAGAAGATGTCCGAGTCCTGTTTATGATTAAAACTTACGTGTTTCATATAGTAAGACATGTTTGAGTTTACTCTTGTTGCACTTTCTGGGAACATTGCTTTTTGGTCTTTTTCTGCTGTTTCAGATCATCTCTTCGGCTTTGCAGTAGTGCTTGGAGGGCAGGTAAATTACTTTGAAATCCACAAGATGGAAGGGGAGGAGGCAGGATGGACTGCAGGCTTGTTGTGGAGGACAAGCGGGATAATTAACATAACAGCTGCCTCTCTGCTTCCCCTCCCTTCCCTACCTCTTAAAATATTAGACTAAAGTGAACAAAGCTGGAGAAATGCCAGAACCTAAAGCTGTGTTTTATCTCCTACAATTTCCTTCTAATTTCCTTTGTAGACAAAGTTTTGACCTCAGACTCTTTCTGGGCATGTTTCATGTAGCAGAGTGCCAGTGAATGCATTTGACAGGAGGGTCGTGGAAGGGTCTTAAATGAATGTGCCTTTTTTGAGTCAGGCAGGGTTTTCGAGCATTCAGTAAAATATCTTTAGCCTGGCTATAATCTCCTTTTAAAATATTCTTATTATAATACATCTGTTTATTATATCAATACTGTGTTTAATCCATTTACACCATATAGATCTTTGTATATTTAAACAAGTGTATATTTAATAAATGTATATTTAAATAACTTTGGCTTGAACAGTCCATCCCCTGGACAGTTAATATGTATTTGCAGTTGTCCCTGGTATTATGAGAGACATTTCTATGTAAACAGTTTAGTGGATGTTGATTTTATGATGGACAGGAAATGAGTAGAATTAGAAGCAAGAGAGGGAGGAAAAAAAACAAAACCACTGGAAAGTTTTGGAAAGAAAAGGGCAGATAGAATCTATAGGAACCTAAAGTAAGGGGCTGCTGTTAAGATCCTGAAACCAGCAAACAGATGGGCCACAAAGAGCTGGTTCTGGATACAGAACAAGGAGAACTCCCTTTTGTGAACACTGGCCTTGGCTGGCTAGAGTGGCTTAGGAGAGTAACTTGTTTTCTGAGGCAGAACCAAGACCAGTTCTCAGGATTGAGCTCAGAATCCAGTTTTTCTCCCTCTGTCTGGAGCTGGGGGTGACTGGGACAGGCTGTAGAACTGCTTTTTTCCAGTAGCTGCTACATGTGACCGTTTAAGTGAAAATGAATTAAAATGAAATAGTGAAATTCAATTCCTCAGTCGCACAGCTACATTCCAAATGCTCAGTAGCCACTTGTAGCCAGTGGCTGCCATATTTGGACAGTGCAACTAGAGAACATTTTCATCATTGCAGAAGATTCTGTTGGACAGCATTCGTCTCCAGGGTGGGATGGAGAGTTAAAAAGTACTAATGTAACTGTAAAATCCATTTTCTTTGCCAGATCAACCAGACCCTAGTTTCCTGAAGACCAAGGCAGGGACAGATGTGTTTTTAAGGCTGGAGTAGGCTGAGGAAAGTGAACAGAGTTGGAATTCATACACATATCAAGTGATGCCATCTACATATGTGCTTAAAACGAAATACCTGTGATGTGTCTACCTACCCAGGGTGCTTCTGTGCACTTGTGTACCCCAGAGATGACCCATTATTCATCATTTACCATTCAGTGAAACAGTTTAAAACAATTTTTAAAAGTTTCAATATGTATTCATTTATCTGGTGCATGGGGTCTTAGTTGCGACGTGCAGGATCCTTGTGTGTTGTGTGAGATCTTTCACTGGGGTGCATGGACTCTAGTTGTGGCGAGTGGGCTTGATTAATTGCTCTGAGACATGTGGGAGGCTAGTTCTCCAACCAGGGATTGAACCCACATCCCCTGCATTGCAGAGCGGATTCTTAACTCCTGGACCACCAGGGAATTACCGCCTGCGCCCCCCCCCCCCCCCAATCAAATAGTATCCTTTTTGTGGGAGAAATCACGCAAGAAGAGGAATCTTTGCTAGCCGTTTGTGTTTACCTTGGTTTGCTTATGAATGGGAAAAGAAAGTAGCGGAGAAGATGTATAAGATTTGCCCTTAGCTAAAATGTGTGCTTTTGAACTGTGGTGTTGAAGACTCTTGAGAGTCCCTTGGACTGCAAGGAGATCCAACCAGTCCATCCTAAAGGAGATCAGTCCTGGGTATTCATTGGAAAGACTGATGTTGAAGCTGAAACTCCAGTACTTTGGCCACCTCATGCAAAGAGTTGACTCATTGGAAAAGACCCTGATGCTGGGAGGGATTGGGGGCAGGAGGAGAAGGGGACAACAGAGGATGAGATGGTTGGATGGCATCACCGACTCGATGGGCATGAGTTTGAGTAAACTCCGGGAGTTGGTGATGGACAGGGAGGCCTGGCGTGCTGCGATTCATGGGGTCGCAAAGAAGCGACTGCGTGGCTGAACCGAACTGAACTGAGCTGAACTGAAAATGTGTGCAATTAATGACATCAGAAGAATGGACTGCTTCTTCCCCTTGTCTCATCTATTGTTTTTCTGGCCAGACCATGAAATGATCCCTGATGGCTAACTTCTAATGAAGTGGGATCTTGGTGGAAAGTTTTTAGTACATGTCTAAATTTTTGGAGATTCATTTCATTTCCTGGTTTGTACCTTCTTGATACCTTATCTTCAATTAAGCAGTTTCTGAAGGAGACAGACGTTAGGGAAAAGATTAGTGAAAATGATCAAATCTGGTCTGGGAAATTATTCATTTACTCTCTTTCATTGTGGGGCACTTAAGTCAATAATCCTTTGCTGATTATGTTTCTACAGTACAGGTTCTTTGGAACTAATATAATCGGTTTCTTGTTTTCTTATTGTGGAATGGGGTGGAAGGGGAAAGAATTTTCCTTTCTTCCTTTGTTCCTTCTTTACTGCTTTTTAAAATCATAATCTATGTAGAAAAAGCAAAACTATAGTGACAGAAAGAATATCAGAAGTTGTTGGGGACGAGCAGTTAGGGAAAGTGACTGTGAAGTGGTATGAAGCATGTTTGGGGGTGATGCAAGTGTTCTATAATTTCATTGTGATGGTGCTTATGTGACAACATATATTTGTTAAAAGTGACTGTGTTGTGCATTTAAGATTAGTAAATATTATGGATCATAAAGTATATCTTAATAAAGCCTATTAAAATCTCTAAAGTACCTTAAAAATAGAATTATAATCTGTTATAGCTACATCTGTTCATCCTTCTAGTCCCATGATTTGTGGGAAATGAAGAAAAATTTTCATCTCAGTGGAAATGAAAAGAACCAGTTAACAAGCTACATTCCTCCTTTATTTTAATATTAAAAGTGGTTGGTTTATAGAAGATTGAGGTTTAAAATTTCCTGTAACACTAAAGTGCATTTAATCCTCTTTGAATTCAAGAAGTAAATGCTGTGTACAGTAATAAAAGTTCCAAGTAGTTCATGGTGACACTGGCTATAGAAAGCCGAGCTTCCCGCTCTTAGTTCAGAACTCCTGCCATAAGTTGGCAGGCTGAGTAATTAACTGAATAAGGGGACGGTTCCCTTTAATCATAGTCACAAGTCCTTCAAATAGGCTGTGTCAGGTGGCTATTTATTCATTCAGTTGTGAGTCTTTGATTCTCTGAATTTAAAAAGCCATGGTGAAAATCCATCTTTTTATTTCTGTCTTCTCTATTGAAGAACGATGCCATGTTTTGGTTTCCAGAAAATGACAGTGAAAAAAAAGAGTGGATGAATGTAAGGTTTAGATGGAACATTCCTGTTGATGCAGAAGACTCATTTTCGTTATGAAATTTAGATTTTTGTAAACACTTGCAAAGAGTTTTCATTTAATGCAGCTGAAGAGTTTTTGTCTTTATATTTGTTCTTAATTTTTTTCTATCTAAATTCTTTTTTTTTTTTTTGGCTGCACTATATGGCATGCAGAATCTTATCTTAGCTCCCTGACCAGGGTTTGAGCCCATGCTCCCACTATAGGGAGCATGGAGTCCTAATTACTGTACCACCATAGAATTCCCTCTAAATTAAACAATTTAAAAATTTTTTTTTTTTTTAAAGAAAATTTTCGTGGTTTTATTGTATCATGAGGCATTGAAATATCTGAACAAATCAATATCTGGGCGGTGAGGCAGCTGCTTTCTCCTTCACTTCTTTGGGTTACTAGAGCAACTTGTCAGTAGATTAAAAAAAAAAAAAAAGACAACCTTTTGCATTACTTAAGTCTTTCCAAGGCATGCGCTGGTACAGCACAAACTTCTCTTGTCAGATGCAACTAGTCTAGCGTCCAAACATCATGCACAACACCTCGGTAGCAGCAGCGCACTGCGCCCACGGCCACCGCGGCCCTGCTCATTTGTGAATGATATTTGGAGCATCTGGAGGAGTGTGAATAGTATCGGGAAGAGGAGGGAGGAGGAAACAGCATGAGTGCCTGGCTGGGAGGAGGTCAGCCAAAGTTGTGCAGGGCAAGCCTGAACATGTCATTGGTGCAAACCCAAGCATCGTTGATGTTCTTTAATAGGAACATCTGGTGTAACCCCATGATGGGGTCTTCATCGGCCTTAAGCTGGCCCACAACCATGCTGATGATGCAGCTGTCTGGTGTGGGCTGATGGTCCTGCGCCGTGATGCTGTGCTGGATTTTCTGGAATGGAAGGCTAGACAATTTCTCCACAATGGCAGCTTTCCCCTGGAATTGCTGTCCTTCCCACGTAAGGCATGATGCATCAATCCGAGGGGCTGGCACGATGGCGGCAGCGGCGGCGGCAACCCCTAAAATTTTATTAAGAAGTAAGATGCCACATAAATTTAAACTTCACATAAAATCTAATTAAAGTTAGAAATATTTTCATTCAGGGTATTGTCTTCTGTTGGTATTGTTACTATTTACCATTGTTCATCTTGCCAAAAGAAAAAGTTCTCACAGACTCCCTGGTATATTTATACTTTATGTATCTTGACTTGGGGACATTACTCACCCCTCCCTGAGACTTTAGAAATGGGGGCTGTAAGAGAAAAAGACTGTATAATTTCAATACCTTGGACCATGAAATTTTTGTACCATGTTTTATGTCCCTGGATATGTTCCAGTATCTGTCTCCTAGTTTATAGTCTATGGGAACTAGAATAGAATTGTATCCTACTGTTGTGTGAAAATTGTATAAATCTTAATTATGTTGAATTGGTTCATGGTGCTTTTTAGGTTTGCTATATCCTTCTACTTTTCTGTATATTCATTCTATTAATTTTTGAAAGTTTGAAATTGAAACTCCAACTAAAGATCTTAATTCACTACTTAAAAAAAATCATAATATATATAGAAACTATATGTAACTTTGTAATGTATTTTCCAAGTCTCCTGTAAATGTTGTCATACTTTCATAATTTAAAAAAGGAAGAAAAAAAAGAAATGAAGGCTGTAACAGAGGAGGGACCAAGGGACAGGCTAAATGCAGTGGGGACGAAAAGCAGCGATTAGATCCAAAGAACGTCTGCTGGCCTTCCAGAAGGGTGTGGTTCTGGATGGCTGCAGCTGGTGAAGGAAGCTTCTAACATATCAGAGGGAATGGAGCGGGTCAGGATAGAACTTAGAGGGATTAAGTTTGGGCTGGATCCAGGATGACTGGCCACTCTTCGTTTTCCTTGTCCAGTATCCGTCCTGTTTTCTGTCTCATCACTTTGCCCTTTCTTGGACAGGGGGTATGGAAGGGGGGATACACAGCTTTGGGATCCAAAGCTTGTACCCTTGATGCAGATCGCCTTGGTTAGATCCTACTGCCTCCACGGATTAGCTGTGTAACTTTGGAGCATTTATTTAATGTCCCTGTGCCACAGGCTGCTTACCTGAAGAATACAGATAATACCACTTCCACCTTCATAAGCTGTTTGCCTGTGATAATGTTTGCCAAGCACTTAACCCAGTTTCTGGCATAACATGTTCAATAGTATTGGCCATATATTATCACCAAATTTTGCATGGTACCACATTCTTGCTTTGGGATGCTATCGACATAGTTTAATATACCCCAGAGATATTTATTTATTTATTTTTGTTAAAAAGTGATGAAACACCTATTTAGGACATGTACATGGAATACTGAAGTTCATCCCTCCCCCCTAAAGTGGTCTCAAATTTCATGTTGTTTCTTGGGATTTGTTCTTTATCTGGAAGGGAGTTGTTCAGTCACCAAGTCTTATCTGACACTTTGCGACTCCATGGACTTTCCTGTCCACCACTGTCTCCAGGAGTTAGCTCAGATTCATGTCCATTGAGTCGGTGATGCCATCCAACCATCTCATCCTCTGCCGTCCCCTTCTCCTTCTGCCTTCCATCTTTCCCAGCATCAGATTCCAATGAGGTGGCTCTTTGCATCATGTGACCCAAAGTATTGGAGCTTCAGTTTCAGCGACAGTCCTTCCAATGAATAGTCAGGGTTGATTTCCTTTAGGATGAACTGGTTCGATCTCCTTGCAGGTAAAGGAGTAGTCTAGGGCAATATTGTCATACGAAATGAATTTGTTAAAAGCACCCACGTAAGTTGAACATTGTTCAGAAGGAACAGAGATTAGAAGCTCACGAGACAGAAATGACCTTCCAGGTGAGCTGATGTTTAGACAGTGCTGTTTTGTTTCTGCGCGAGTTTCATTTGATGGAAATTCATCTATTCAATGCCTGCTTTGCGTCTGCTGTCCTGGAAGTGCAATTCTGACGGATGCATGCAGAGCCGAGCTCTGGCGGACCATGCGTCCGAGTGAGGAAGACAGTGAACAAGGTTGTCCAGAGACAACGGAGAGGTGATAGACTGGAGAGTGACCTCAGAAAAAACTTGGCCATGTCTGAAGACTTTTTTGTTTGTCACAACTGGGGAAGGGATACTACTGATTTTAACAAGTGGAGGCCGGCTAAACATTGTACGGCTATAGGAATCCCACCTTAGTCCATCCAAACAGAGAATTATTAGATTTTAAATGTCAGTAGGGTCCAGATTGAGAACCTGCTCTAGATGGTCCTGGAAGCTTTGAAGAGGAGGGCATATTTGGGCTAATATAGATGTAATGTAATGTAAATGGCCTTCCCTGGTGGCTCAGTGATAAAGAATCTGCCTGCAGTGCAGGAGATGCTTGGGAGATGTAGGTTTGATCCCAGGGTCTGGAAGAGTCCCTGGAGAAGGAAATGACAACTCACTCCATCCAGTATTCTTGCCTGGGAATCCCATGGATAGAGGAACGTGGCAGGCTACAGTCCACAGGGTTACAAAGAGTCGGATATGACTAAGCAACTGAACACACAGGATGAAAGTGATAAGAAAGAGCTATCTATGCCAAAATTTGTGGGAGAAGCATTTTGGGAAGAGAAACTATCAAGAATAAAATCCCTGAGGCAAGAGTAGGCTATGGAAGGAACAGAAGGAAGGCTGGTGTGGCTCATGTGGGTGAGATCAATACTGTGGGTAAATCATGTAGGGTTTTGTGGCTGACATAGGAGTTATTCAAGTGACTCAGTGGGTTTTGAGTTATTATGAGATTTTGGACATTGTTGATTGTTTTGAATTTTTTCCCTTTGATTTTTGTTTTCCAGAATTATGGCCTTGAAACTGACAATATGAAGAACTTGGTTTTGAAACTGCGAGCGTCCTCCCATAATTTACAGAATTACATAAGTAGCAGGAGGAAAAGTCCAGCTTATGATGGGAACACCTCTCACAAGCCCCCCAATGAGTTCCTGACTTCTGTAGTGGAGCTCATAGGTGCTGCCAAGGCCTTGTTAGCTTGGCTAGACAGGTAAGTGATGGGTGTGCTTTACTGTCCTATGAAAGGAGGTCTGTACTTTGCCTGAGGAAAATGAACCATTGCCCTTGGCATAGTTCAGGAGTTCGGGGTCAGTGGTCCATTTTAGGGTCCCTTTGGAAGTTCTAGAGAAGGTGAATAGCAGGAACAGATTAACCTCAGCTTAGAGAAATCTTGAGTTTTACTGAGGTTAAACATTACTGATTATCTGGTTACATGAAGGCTATTAGTTGACTTTTGAAGGGATGTTCATTCTCTTGGCTCATTTTTGGATGTCTTTTAATCTAGAACTTCTCTGTTTCTTTTCTATTCAGATTCCTATTTTGTGTGTTACTTGAGAGGAAAACATAACAATTTAAATTGGCCTGTTGTGTATTGTGGTTGTTAATACACGGTGTGGGATCCTGGTGGCTTCAGCTTCTTCACTTTTTTTTTTAAAAGAGAATTTTTATTGCTTTCTAGGGCTCCATTTACAGGGATCACTGATTTCTCAGTGACGAAGAATAAAATTATTCAGCTTTGCTTGGACCTGACCACTACAGTCCAAAAGGTGAGTGCGTCACTGTTGTTTTCTAAAAGTTTTTTCCTTTTCCCTTTTCTTCAAAGATTTACATTCAGGTATGAAGTACCACTCTGTCTTTCTCTCCTTCTTCCCCCACATCCCCCCTGAAGAGCTAGGAAGAGATGAGGGGCTTTAAATTAGATGTGTTATACAGATAGTTTCTGTGAAAAATGATTGGTGGCCTTTACATCAAAGATTGCCTTCTTTTGTTTGAAAATAATCAACCTAATAATCCTGTGCTTTCTCTAAAATGTTACCACACTGAATTTTTTTAAAAATAAAAGTTCTGTTCTATACATCTGAGTCTATTTTTCGGTTTTGCATATAGGGTTATCGTTACCATCTTTCTAAATTCCATATATATGTGTTAGCATACTGTATAGAACAGACTTGTGGACTCTGTGGGAGAAGGCGAGGGTGGGATGTTTCAAGAGAACAGCATCGAAACATGTATATTATCTAGGGTGAAACAGATCACCAGCCCAGGTTGGATGCATGAGACAAGTGCTCGGGCCTGGTGCACTGGGAAGACCCAGAGGGATCGAGTGGAGAGGGAGGTGGGAGGGGGGACCGGGATGGGGAATACATGTAAATCCATGGCTAATTCATTTCAATGTATGATAAAAACCACTGCAATGTTGTAAAGTAATTAGCCTCCAACTAATAAAAATAAATGGAAAAAATAAATAAAAACAAAAAAACAAAAAAAAACACCTTTGCTCCATCAGAAAAAAAAATAAAATAAATAAAAGTTCTGGAGTAACAACATTGCACCATAATCTTTGTTCTGAGTATGCTATGGTATCTGCTTTTTAATTTTCTTCTCGTTCTGACCCGTGGTGGTTGGATTTGCCAGTCAGGATGAGCTCAGTGATGATGCAGTAACAAACACCCCTCAAACCTCAGCAGCTTACTCCTGGATTCCCTACGTGTAGATGGGTCAGCTGAGAGATCTGCTTCAGCTCTCCTCACTGCAGGATGTAGGCTGACAGAACCTCATGTTGTTTTTCCCCAAGGCAGAGGGACAGAGAACCTGGGTGATTCTCACACTGACAGATGTTCTGGTTTGGAAGTGACACGTCAGTTTCACGCACCACTCATTGGCCAGAATTTCAAATCTTAGTGAAGGCCAGGAAGATATTAACTGGCATGTAGCAGACGCTTGTAAAATTATTTTTGAATTGAGTTGAAGCCATGAAAATGTAAGGAAGAGCTTGTTCTTTTTTCACGTCCCACTTGGTTCAAATATTCTGAGATTGCACGTTTGTTTCCACTGCTGATTTGGCAGAGTAAAGAACATCCTTTCCTCAGTTCTAACCATGCCATAAAATAGATGCAGTTCTGAAAAGCCACGTGCTTTCTGTCTGTTCCTGGAACATGAAGAGTGAAGTTTGGCTGTTGTTTCAAGTCCAGTCCTGAGCGG